CATACAGAATATGAAATAACAATATATATATAATTTACCAATATAAACAAATATTTAAAGGTTAGGTGGCTAGAAAGGTATATTCTGCCTACATATTATATTATTATATCAGAAATACACAACGTTGTCCGTGCCCATTAGTCTTTTATTTGTTTGCTTGCCCAAGGCACATACAACCATTGCCTATATGACGGTAGTGATGGGCAATGTTCGTTTATTTTTAAAAACTTTAAAACGTTCCTGATTTAAAAATTTCACAATTAGATAAGAAGTTTTACAAAATCCAAACATTTCTTTTCCTGATACTATGCCAAATGTTAACCCTGAGAGAAATCGTTTTTATTTCGTTTTCAAAATATTTTTTCCAATGGTAAAATTGTTGCATAATTTAATTAAAGCAAGCTTTTACAGATTAAAGTTTAAAATGTTCAAACCAGTATCTTTCAAAAATTCAAAACTCTTAAAATTCTGAGAAAAACGTGCCAAATAACGCATAAATGCCCAGGTTATTACCCGTTTACCCGCACTTAAAGGATTTTTCTGGGAAACTAAATTTTCGCTATTTAAGTCGACCCACTCAACCTGGAATCTCAAAACCAAGCTAAGAACATTCCCATGGATCTCCCGAGTTATCAAATCAAAATTTGAGGCAAATTGGCCCAGGGGTTCCAGCGTTATGATCGGACAAACAAACAAACGGACACCCAAAAAGAGATTACAATTTTATATATGTAGATTGAGTCTGAATATATAATAATAATAATTTTTTACTATTTCTGATGTAAGATCAGTATTGCATGATTAATATTGTGTAGACTAACTTACGTATTATATGCATGAAAACTAATAAACCCAATTTATATTGATGGTTGAGCTGAAACCTATGTAATCAGTCAACATTATTTTTTACTTCACAGAATTATATTATACAAATTACACAAGGTAATATATTTGACAATCACACTAATTTTTTCATAAGAAAATATAATTTTTTTTAATAAATCATAAATATTAAACCTTCATTTGAAGAGAGTAATGTTGCAAACGCTTGTTCACCTATTATTCAAAAAGATTGTTTTCAAGAAACATTTGTTGTGTTTTTAGTATTTTCAGTTTTTTTTTCTTCAGAAAAGTCCAAACTACCCATCCCTATGAGTACTTGAGTAAATAGAAACTTCATAAATATTCGTCATTTTCCGATGAATTTAAGCTTTGCGATAACAGGACCAATAAATGCTAAATGCAAATTATCGTCCCCGAAAGTAGACCTTCACGACCACAGTTTACACATTATTATGGAGAGAACGGGCTCTGATCAGATGAAGGTTTCAAAGCAAGACGACCTGAAACACTGAAAATATTGCTTATGTTTCATTATAAATAAAATCAAAGTACCTTTAAAGACTTTCTGAGTTTCCCTGCGTGCCATTGGTAATGCTTAGGCACCTGACCAAATGAATTAGCTACTTTCTCCACGTTTTTCCCTTGATTAAGGTTTAACTTAGATTAGTGGCACTCTTCAAAGGCATGGTTGTAAAGATCGGGCATTGCCATTTACATGTAGGGCACTTGAAATTACGCGGACAGTATATTTTTTTAGAAATAAATATAATTTCAAATCTAATTAAAATCATACATTTATTTATGAAATAAAATAAAGAGTTAAAATGTGCTGAAGCAAACTGTTACAAAAAGCAATTATTCTCTTGGATGTCGTCTTCTCCTTACTTGTCATCGTGCATATCAAGGAAGATCTCAATAACCTGAAATTAAATTGATGATTAACATTTTTTGAAAATTTGTATAAAATACAATCAAATCAGACAAAGTTTCCTGCAAACAAGCTTTAATTCAAGTTTTAACCCAAACTAAAGCTAAATATATAAAAAAAAAATTACCTTGGCCTTTGATTATAATCTCACTAACTTACTTTATACCTTTGGGAAGCCTTAGCCATGTACAATTTAGAATTGTAAAACACTTTTTTAGTTATATGTAGTTTTTTGGAATTGTAATCGAAAAAACTTCATCGATCTTACTAAGTTGCCACCTGTGTTATCAGGTTTCAATGTTTAATGGTTTGCAGTTATAAGTTATAACTTAAATGCAAAGGCTTTTCTGTAATTAGGAAAACCTTTGAGTAAATATGAAAAAAGGGTCTTAACAACAGTATCAATTCAAAGGAGACGACTTCTCTGTCTAAGTTTCGATTTCTAACAAACTTGTTTTAAAAGTAAACAAAGAGAAGCTGTCTATCTCTATAAGTATCCATGCTGCTTAAATTAAATTTGAAAGTCGTCTTCATTGTAAAGATTTATGCAACAACGACTGTATATCTATATAATAAAACAAGACCGTCATATATTTATGTTGCGTATAGCTGGCCAAACGGCTGGACCGAATAGGTGTACACTCATGGGAAGCTGGGGGGGAAGGCTAAGCAAAACATGATTTTTTAAAGTTTTTATCATTATTCCAATATTCATGCACATATAATTTAACAATACAAAAATAATCAGAATAACGCTGCATAAAATTCCTAAAGCCCCTAAAATTGGTAAAAAATCTAAAGTTAGTTTTGAATTATTATTTTTCCAGGGCTTATAAAGCGCAAAATCTCTATTTTAATAATATATATGTTTAAAAATTTTCAAATTGGACCAAAAAAACATTGATTATGAAGAACGAACTTTTTGAGATTTCGCACAACGAACATAGAGTGACATAGACACTAATCGTTAGAAATATCTAACCCTATTTCTTCGAAAAATTTTAGTTTCGTATTTTCTGACAATTTTGGAAGTTTAGACAAATTGATCAATACTTTTATTATAATTTAATAATTAATTTCAAGAACTGCACCAAACTATTTTTGATGTAAAAAAATAGTCTGTTTCTAGAGTGGAAATGTGTGAAAAAATAACTGTTTCTATAGTGGAAATGTGTGAAAAAATAATCTGTTTCTAGAGTGGAAATGTGTGAAAAAATAACTGTTTCTATAGTAGAAATGTGTAAAAAAATAATCTTTTTCTAGAGTGGAAATGTTTAAAAAAATATCTGTTTCTAGAGTGGAAATGTGTAAATAAAATAATTATTTCTATAGTGGAAATGTGTGAAAAAAATAATCTGCTTCTAGAGTGGAAATCTGTGAGAAAAAAAAATCTGTTTCTAGAGTGGAAATGTGTAAGAAAAATTATCTGTTTCTAGAGTGGAAATGTGTTAAAAAAATATTATGTTTCTAGAGTGGAAATGTGTAAAAAAATAACTGTTTCTATAGTGGAAATGTGTGAAAAAATAATCTGTTTCTAAAGTGGAAATGTGTAAAAAAAATAATCTGTTTCAAGAGTGGAAATGTTTTAAAAAAATAATCTGTTTCTAGAGTGGAACTGTTTAAAAAAAATAATCTGTTTCTAGAGTGGAATTGTGTAAAAAAATAATCTGTTTCTAGAGTGGAAATGTGTAAAAAAAATAATCTGTTTCTAGAGTGGAAATGTGTGAAAAAATATTATGTTTCTAGAGTGGAAATGTGTAAAAAAATAACTGTTTCTAGAGTGGAAATGTGTAAAAAAATAATCTGTTTCAAGAGTGGAAATGTGTAAAAAAATTATCTGTTTCTAGAGTGGAAATGTGTGAAAAAATATTATGTTTCTAGAGTGGAAATGTGTAAAAAAATAATCTGTTTCTAGAGTGGAAATGTCTAAAAACTTTTGTTGTGCTTGAAAGTTTACATATTATGATTAAAATTGTGTTAAGCATGGTTAGGTTCAATTTACGACTTTTTTAAATCATGAAATTTTGCAGATTAATTTATCATTTTTATATCAAATAGTTAAAATTCCAGTTTTCGAAGATTCATTTTTTACATTGAATACTTATTTTCACACATCAACACACAATCAACCCCATAACCAATAGGGCTATTTTTGTCTATATAGATTTTGCCCTTAGAGTTGAGATAAGATACGGTGGTAAATTATCTCTATTAGTCCAACTTTTCAAGGCCAGTTCATTGAAAAAAATAGAGTTTAAAAAAACCAAAACAAATTTAGAAATCATTTTTTTTCCAGATATGAACATGTGACTCATATCAGTTCAACTTTTTCAAGGGTTTTCAAATAATTACGTTTTTTATCTGTAGCAATTAAATAGTAAAAAAGTTATGGGCATTTTTGATTTAATTGAAACACCTACCCAGTACCGATGCAACAAAAAAAAACTTCCCCCCTCCCACCATAATAGGGGTAATGGTTTGTGCATTACTGCAAGAATAAATTAATGCTATACTGTTAAATGAAGAAAACAAATTAAACCTTTATAGTATTTATGTCGTCATTAAACATGACAGCGTAGCGACTTTGAAGATCTTAGAATTCATTTGTAGCATTCGATAATTCGTCATAACAATTTTAAGGTATATTTTATAAATTGAAGTTTGAACATTTTTTTAAAATCTCCAGTAATTGAGAGCACAAAAAAAGGCAAACAACATTTTTGAACAAGGGGAAGTTTTTGATTTTTTTGTGAAGATTCATATTTTTAAAAATAGGTTGAATGCCGCAAATTAGTTTAAAAATCAAAGAGGACCTTCAAATTTCTCTTAATATTCATGTTTGGTGGGACACTCTGTACTGTAAAATACATATCCCAACAATACAGTTGTCTAAGACAAAACATCCTCATATTCAATTAACCTGATTAACTTGTTTATTATCTAGCTGTCAAGAAACACCTCAGTTATCTAATCGATCAATCAATCAATCAATCAATTAGTCAATCAATTTATCAATATTTATAATACTAGAAAAATATCCATAATAACAAATTGTAATAACGAACATCTTGATCAAAATTATGAGCAGAATTTAAATATTAGTTCAATATTATAAATAAAAATTTCAATATTAAGAAAAAAATTTCAATATTATGAATAAAAATTTCAATATTAAGAATGAAAAGTTCAATGTTAAGTATAAAAAGTTCAATATTTAGAATAAAAAGTTCAAAAAGATATAAAATATTTGAAAGAATAGAATTCTTCTCTGAATCCTAATTGCATGTTCTGAACTATAAAATCTCGAATGACTAATGAAGTGAGGTCATGATATGAAAGGTTGGAATAGAAGATGAAAAAAATATCGTTTAAAAAATAATGATCTTCCATTCACACCATACTAGGTAGCAAAAAAAAGAATGAATGATATTTTGATCCTTTTTCTCATTTTATTTGTCATTTGCTAGTTTCAGAACAAAAACATTGACAGAAACCAATCTCTTATCTAGTTTTCAGAGTTATGTCAAGAAAATATTA